TCATGCATTTGCCTATGCCTTGGCTAACGGTAAGGAGCCAACAACGCAGAGCTGCTTTCAACACCCCACCAATCAGCAATCTGAGGGAACGGACCTTCATCATGACCGCCAAATATCAGCATGGAGTGGCTCTCGGGATCGTAGATCGCTGAGTGCCCATGTCTTTCGCTTGGAGACGGTCCTGTGGGCTGGAGTTTCTTCCACGCCATGACCTCCCGGAAAAACTTCAACTCACTGCGGCCCGCAACTTCAAAAGAGAAATTCAACATCGTTGTTTTGCATTACATTCAAGCTTGAAACCTCTTTTCCGCAAGAGTGCCCTTCCTTACAGGCACGTCTGGCGTGCATTCTGCCTCAGCAGCTGAAAGACGCGGGTCGAAGAGGAGCTTAGTGGTCTGGGTCCTGATCGCGTTCTCCTCGGTGTCCCAGACACAAGTGCCGCGCAGGCGCTGCTCCTGTCGAGATGTTAAGCTTTGCAGGTTCCTGTGAACGTGCTTGCTTACTGCGGCATGGACACAACTTCCTGAAGGGAGAACTTCCACAACCGCACCCTCTGGACCAAAAAAATGACAAAACGCTGGCTGCAGGCTTGTTGGACTCACCACGAAACCTTGGGAACCCACGTGGCAACAAACTCAAGGAGCACCAATGGCCCGACCCCTGAAACTGCGACTGAGACGGCAGGGAGAAAGTCTTCTGAACGAGAAAAATCTGTAAAGCTTCGCATCTCAGCGCCAAGGCGCTTCGGCAGAGCGCTGTGGGACTGCAGCGGGCCAGACTGCCTTAGCATCTCAAACTACCTCATGACACAACCTTGCCCTTACCCATGCTCGTCTCAGGAGGGTTCTAAATTGAATCCGCGCAAGAACACGCCGTAACCCATGCCAAACACTGCGGACATGAGCACGCAGAAAAGCAAGGTGACTTCAAGACAAGGGTTCCTTGATAAACAAGGCAAGCCAAACACAGACAAGAGTGATCCTTGCTCCTGTTTGTGCCAAGTTTTGTTGCCTTCTGCAGCGCAATGAAGCACCAATAAAACTCCAAACACTTAACATCACAGCATTGCTATGAAGGCCGGGACGCGTCAGAGATCCGGGAGACTTTCCTTGACCGCCACGGCGGCAGACAGCACAAACCAGGTATGCGGACGCGAGCAAACCAACCACCCGCTCGACGCCCTGTCGATGTAACTCGTGGCGCAGATTGGGTTACAACTTCCGTGGCCGCGCGCTTGCGGATTTCAGCAGAGGCCAGGCGCTTCTGGAACCGCTTGTTCAGCCGCAGGGTGGTCACGAACTGAAGCCAGCTGCCTGGCAGATATTCGTTCACGACTACGGCCAGAAGCTGGGCACGGGTGAGGCCCACGTAGAGCCTGGCTCGCGTCTCTTGGTCAGTGGCTCCAAGGACCTCATCCAGGCCAACGCACACCACAACGAGGTGCTCAAGCCCTGTGGACTTCTCAACAGTGTCCAGGATGACAAACTCTTCTGGCCTTTCTGTGTCGGGCAAGGGCATCAGGTGTGCCGGCAAGAGTTGCCAAAAATCGGCAGAAGACGCCAAGCGAATGTTCCGTGGGCTGAACTCCATGGCCAATCGCTTTTGGAGCGGCGCCTCCAGCCTTCTTCGGAAGCTTTCGCCCGGCACCAGCAGCGCCACGCGGCCGTGAAGGCTCAAACGCGATGGCAGGCTCTCCACAACGTACCACAGGGCTTTGAGGGTGTGTGAGATGTACTCATTCAGTGGATCGGTGCCCTCACCAGTTTCAAAAATGTATGTCTTTACCGGCGGGCCATCCGTGCCTACCGCAGCTACGGAACGCGCTGCCTCTGACAATTGAAAGGTGCGGGCAGCAGCAGTGATCCTTTGGCTACCTCGGATCACTTCAGTTAGTTGCACGGTGCGCATGTCCGGGAAGAAGTGCTGAAGATTCCTCGACTGAGATAGGTCGGACAGGACTAGGCGCTGCTTCGCGGGGAGCTCCCAAATTGAAGCTTGTTCCGCACTGACCTTGTGCGCCTCATCAATGACCAGCAGGCAAATCTCAGGCATCTTCTTCACGGGTTTCAGAGAGATGCGAGGGCCGTCAACAACTGGATACCAAAAGCTTCTATACGGCGCGTGCATGACCGTCATCTTGCTCAAGATGCTGGACATCTTGGAGGGCGCTAACAGGACCAGCCATCGCAGCGCGAAAAAAGCCAGGGCTTGGCTGGGTGCCACGTAGCAAACAGTGGATGTTGAAGATACCCGCATCATGCGACGCATGTACTGAACCGCAACGAACGTCTTCCCAGCACCAGCTGGGGCTTGCAGATGCAAGTCAGTATTTGCAGCCTCCATCTCTTTGAGCTTCCTCAATGATGCCAAGACCAAGAAAACCACGCATCATCAAAGACCCTAACAAACGCGTATGCCAAATCAAAGAATGCGATCGTAAAACCTCCAACATGCCTCAGCCCATGACACAAAATCATGCCCAATATCAGGTGAGCCTCTCCAACTGGTGGGGCGTGAATTCCGTGAAGCTCAGGATCGTGTTCTCATATAAGTCGAAGAACTCCCGCTTCTCCACCACTAGCTCTTGGCAGCTTGGATCCAGCTTGGCAAACGCGGCGTTCAAGCACGTGTCCAGATCTCCACTGAGGACTCTGTCCCTCAGTTGGTGCACCTGCTTGATGGAGTTGATCTCCACTTTCAAACCCAAGGAAGCCTGGCCAGTGCTATGAAATCTGAGGGCCTACAAGGATAAATTATGGCTCTAGGGAGTGACAGGGAACGTTGCAACTCACAACTCGCACAACCCCATTCCTAACCCCCGAACCCCGAACCCCCAACATCCCCTGAACCTGGTAATGCCTCAACCCCAAAGACCCTATCATCCCTAAAACCCTCTCACGCCTAAACTCCTAAGCCACTAACCACCAGACCCTCAACCCGAATTTCTTAAATCCACCCGAATCCGCGTATATCCCCTCCAAAATCCACCGTAAATCCACTCTTATTCCCATCGAGCCGGCCTTGCCATCTCGCAGC